GGCTTCCAGGCCTGGGCTGTAGTGCCACGCGCCCGCAGCTCCCCAGCGCTCTCAGGCGGTTCCGATTCAGTCACTGGATCGGAACAGTCAGCCTCGCTCCTACGGCTTTCAGCGGGCCGTTGGCCAGGCACCTCTCAGCGAAACTCTCGCTGATCAGCGTTATTCCACCGCGGCGCCCACGGCGTGACCGGTCGGGTCGTGCTGCGGTGCCTCGTGTCCGCAGAGCCCGAGCGAGGGAGGTGGCAGCCCGGGGGTCCGGCCACCACTGCCACGGCAGGACAGGCACCCGGCGGAAGAGTCCGCTAACATGCAAAATAAATACAGAGTCCCTCAAAATTGCCTCCAGCACTAACTTCTCAACCTCACATAGGCAGCAGATGAGTCCCGCACATGTCGCAGTCTTAGGCCAGTCAAAATTTTCACTTATTTGTGTCAACATACAGTTTTTCTCCTTGTTTTATAATTTTCCAAGCACAAGTATAATTGGCTCTGGCCTGCTACCAAGAGGTTTATTAAAGCAGCAAGGGATGAAACTAATGATTGTTAAGAAGATCTAATTCCAAGGATACCAAGTTGCTCATTACACATTTATGGCTACTAACCAGCAGCGCTCAAATAAAGGCCTGTGGATTTGTTTACCTTGCCAAGGCACTAAGATGCATCCAGTCACAAGAATTCAAAGGTTGAGGCAGAAATCAATACAGAGCTACTAAACACCCTACTGGGCAGCTGGAAGAGGCTAATTTAATGATGAACCTATGAGTCCAATAAAAATGTGCATAATTTAAAATGAATTAAAAACATAAGCTGCTAAAGCATCAATATTTAAACACCATCCCCCGCAGTGTTGCCACAGATTTTGCAGGAAGAGCGGGCATTGTTGAACACGAAGGTAACAAAGACGCAAGAATCGCCTGAAATACATTTTTGGCCAAATTCCTGGTGTGGCTTTGAATAAACCCGTGTCAGGAATAAATCTGGCCACGGTGTTGTCCCTCTCGTTGTTAAGAACTCCTGTGCAGTGGGTTTCCAGCCCCCGTGCAGGCAGGCGAAGGCCAGCGGGACGCCCCGGAGCCGCGATCACGCGCTGGGCGCGGGGAGCAGCCCGGGCTGTCCCCAGGTAGTTCAGCCCACCCCCAGGCAGGTCGCCTCCTCCGCCTGCAGGGAGTCCGGCCGCAGCACAGTCAGCCTGCCCTGCCCGCTGGAACGCCCCTCTTTCCACGGGACTCCCACGGGGACCCTAAAAGCGAGGGACGCTCCAGCCACCACGGGTAAAGAAGTCACTGCGAACGCCACCGGGACTGAGCCACAAGCGGCTCAAAAACCCCTGAGCCCCGGAGATAACCAGCGTGTGCATCCGGTGCAAACGCTGCTCGAGAGAAGGAGTTTTCAGCTGCCGGTCCTAAATCGTTTATCATTTGCTTTCCAGCACCGCTTCACACCAAGTGCTTCAGAACACCAAGATTATCGGGTGACACAAAAGAAAATCTTCTGCATGGTCACACCAGGAGACAGGCGCTATTGCTGAGGAGTGCGTTCGGGGACAGCGTGAGCCTGGGCGCAGGCAGGACCCCCACCCGTGATTTGGGGCGAGGGGGACACGTTTGCTTCTGAGGAGACCTGTCGGCAAAGGACAGAGCTCCATGGCTTGCAGAGGACAAGGGCCCCCAGCTTAAAACCGCCGGCTCCAAAGAAACCGGCCGTGGGAGGGATGAACTCAGCAGCTCCCCGAGACAGCTCTCTACTCCCCGTGCCCCCCGCCGAGACCCTCCGGACCCAGTAACAAAGCTCCTGGAGAAGCGGCTGCGTGAGGAAACTCGCCGAGGGCCCGTGCCCTGGCAGCACAGTCCCTGCTCCCAGCCCAACCCTGTCCCGGGCCAAGGCGCTCACACGCCAGCACCGATGCTGCACCAACTAATTTGCACTTTAACTAGCTTACTGTTAAAGAGATCCTTGCCTTAGTTAATCCAGAGGCCATCTGCTGAGGATAATGCATTTATTACTAAGAATCTACCTATCTGTATTGTGCATGGTGAATCTCAATCATTTTAACTTAGACACTCTATTATACATACCATGAAATTTAACAAGGTATGTCCTATATGGGGCTGTAACGTTGCAGCTGTGTGGACTAATTAGATAACACTCATTATTGTTCATTCAATTTGCGTCTGCAGATGCAGGGAGCTGAGTGCTGACTGCTCTCGAGGCTCTGATTGATTGCTCCCACTTTGCATTCATTAGGAAGGTGGCCTCAGCACAGTAGTTTTACAACATGTGTTTGCTACCACTTAACTGGATGTGCCAGTCAAATGCCTTGAACTGTGTCTCTCGATGAACAATATTTTGCAAATATGGCGCAGTCTATTTTAGCAGCATGACAGGTGGAGCGCGGAGCCGGCGTGCCGGGCGAGCGCCGCTCCCGGCAGAGCCTTCCCCTTCCCGCACGGGAAGAAATACCGCCGTGACAGTCAGGGCTGGTGACAGCTCGCCGATACACCGGGTCCACAGGTGGTCACGTCCACTGCTCCTCTCCTCCAGCCAGATGTGACTTACAGAAAGAAATGGGCCTGCTGGAGGGTTTGGCTTTGTCAGACGAACACCAAGCCCGTAAAACCCGCGCAAATACAGCCCACGTTGACCTCCGCGGCTTTTCCCCACAGCCCCTTTGCAGCGACAGACTGGGACTCGCTCTGTCCAGGCTGGGGTTCCCCCCATCGCCCTGCCCCGTGCCAGGCAGCCACCCCGGGGGCATCGGTGGGTTCGGTGGCTCGTGCTGTCACCCAGCTCTTTGTAACAGCAAACCACAGCCCAGCAGCACCCGGTGGTCCCAGCCCGGGCGCACCGAGCCCCCCTGCCCTCCCCAGCTCGGCCCTTTGCCACAGACGGTGGGGCTGTGCCGTGGGGAGAGGCATGGCATGAGTGCACCCAGGAGCTCCAGCCCTTCCCAAATGAGGCTTTTCTTCAGATCGTGCTTTAAATCAGCCAGGCAATCGAAACCCGTTAGAGAATCACGTGTGTTCCCATAGGGCTGAGATCAAAATGATGCCCGTCTGTAAATTATTCAAGATGAGATTACATTTTGGCAAATCCCATGGTCAAAATAATAAGAAAACAGCAGAAAAAAAAACAACTGGCATTCATGAAAAATAAGTATTGTCAGCCTAGCTCTGTGGCCAGGTTGGAGAGCAGACCGAGCAGGCAGACTGGAGTCCCGCAGCACGCTGCGGGCAGCCGGGGCCTGTCCCGCTCTGCTGGGAGCCCGCGGCGGGGTGCTCCGGGGCTCCCCGGGCGTGGGTGCCACTGGCTCCGGGCGTCAGCTGGAGCTCTCACAGCTCCTGTCTTAGTTTGGGCTGAAATAGAGCTAATATTCCTTTTCAGGGACGAGATGAGTGCTGTGTTTTGGATTTAGCTTTGGGGTTGGTATGGGAAGAATGCTGATAGCACACTGATGTTTTCAGCTGCTACCGAGACTTCAAGGACTCTCAGACTCCCCACGTCCTGCCCGTGTGCAAGGGCACAGGGAGCAGGGAGGGAGCACGGCCACAGCACCTGACCCGAACTGGCCAGTGAAATATTCCAGATCATGGCACGTCATGCTCACTATATAACGGAGGGGTGGTTGGGAAGGTTCTCTCGCTTCGGGGTTTGCGATTGTGGGATCTTGGTATCTCGGGGTCGCTGGCCGGGAACGGGCTGGATGTTGGTTGGCGGGTGGTGAGCAATTGCGCTGTGCATTGCCTGTTTATATATTTCTTTTTGTTTTCCCCCCGTCATCGTTGTTGTTTTCATTTTATTGCCATTATTGGGCTGTTCTTATCTCGGCCTGCGAGTCTCCCTTCACCCCTCTAATTCCCTCCCCCATTCCCAGGTGGGGAGGGGGACGGGGGGGTGGCCACCTGTGGTGGTTGGTTGCCAATCAGGCCCAAACCACAACAGCTCCTCACGCCGAGCAGCCCCGCAGCACCCACGGGAGTGCCGGAACGGCCTCAGCACAGACTGGTATTAGCACTCACCTTCTCTTAAAAACATTTACTCCAGCCTCACTGACGTTAATCCAGGGGGTGAAAGGAACTGGTCCAGGAGCGTTTCCTGCAGCCTGGGGGACGTGGGTACCTGGATATCTCCAGGGCAATTCATCAACTCCATCACAGTGATCGTCCAGCACCAGAAGAGGGACATCACAGCCCTCCCACCCATCCGGCGAGCGACCTGTGCCGCTGGTGGAGCATTTTGCAGTGATTTAGTGCCCTGCTAAACACACGGGCTGGGATTTGCCCGTCCTGCTTCCACCCCCGCGAGCGAGGCTCCCTGCCCAGTTCCCTGCCCGGCGCTCTCTGCGGCAGGAGCCAGGGGTCACCCGCACCCCCAGGCCACCCGGACCTGCTCCTGCCCCCAGGGACGCTGCCCCGGCGCTTTCTGCACGGGGGGGACTCACAGTCTCAGCAGATCGGGCCGATGCTGCTGGCGGGCACAAACGGTGCTTAGGAGACGGGGGGCAGAGGCTGGCTGCTGAAGCTTTGAAGATGCACATCACCTTAACACCTTTCCGTGCACTCCCTGTAGCCGAGGGCTTTATTTTGCAGTCTGCTGTCTGCAACTGCAAAGGGGGGTGGGGGAGCTCCCACCTTCCCCCCCGTCCCCCTCCCCACACCACACACAGTGTCCCCAAAGCGCTGGGCTTGGCAGCGGTGACCAGGCATCGCCCATCACCCCCTGCCAACGCCGGGGCAACCTCTTCCAACCGAGCAGCCCAGGCACAAGCACAGTGCAAAAGGCTCAGAAAGTTCCCTCCTCGAAGCTTCGTCTGTCTCCGAAATCAAAGAAGGGCGAAGCCAGAGCAAGGCAGTATGGTGCCATATGCTCGGAGCAAGGCTGGAACAAGGGTCCCACCACCGCCCACACCAGAGCGCGCTTACCCCTGCAGACCAGCTCCGCTGCCGGCTCTGAGGTTTAATCCTTCTTTCAACCCAAGTATTAACAGTCTGCTTAGTCAGTCAGACTTCTCAGCCCCAGGGGCCTCATCTTTTATTTTTCACAACGCTGTAAACCAAAACCCGGGGAAGAGCTTTTCCTCGCAGCAGTGAAGCCTCCACCAAGCAGGAGCCGATCCCACGAAGCAGCCGCAGGCTGGGGGACACCCAGCGCGGCCGGAGCGGAGAGGAAGAGGAGAGGCCCCTCGACGGTGGCCTGGTGGGGCAGTCGGGAAGTTTCGGCCCTCTGAAACAAACTGGGAGCTTACCAACAGAGGTGGACGGAGCGGGGACCAGTCGGTCATCCTGGGCTAACAAGCAAGGCTTTTGTTTTGGGGCCATTTCTGGGAGAAAGGCATATTAAGAATAAATCAACCTGCCTGGATCCTCCATTGCAGTCAGCACGAGTGTCCTGGCCCCGGCTCTGCGCCGGAGCTCCCGGCTCTGCAGAGGAGCAGTGCAGGGCAGGCGGGGGGGGCTGGATGCCCCGGCCCCCCAGCACACCCGGGTGGGGATGCACATGCAGAGGAGGAGGAGGAGGAGGAGGAGGAGGATGGGTTTGCAGGGGAATCTCTCTATTGGCATGTCCCCCGGGGCGTTTTGCAGCCTGCTTCCCAGGCAGGGCGAGGGCACTGTAATGGCAAGATGATGCCATTCAGAGCTCAGCTGATTTCAGGGGATTTTTTTCATTAAATTCAGTGTTGCTAGGCTGCTAATACAAGGCAGCTCCACTGCCATCGTGTTAGGCAGATGAACTGTCGCTTCAGCTCATTTCAGTGTGAAACACTCACTTTTTTCCTTTTTGCATATGCAGTACCCACTGGATAGTTCAGGTCTATGCACAACATATTTATTCAACGGTAATTGTTTCATTTCTGCAAAGGAAATAAGTTTCACTATTCCTGCAGCTGACAGGCTCTGGCATAAGTTGGAAGCTGAGGCTCCAAAAGGATGGAGAATATGTTTATGGGATGAACCACAGCTGTTTGCAGCATTCCTCTGCCCTAGCAATTATTTTAATAGGAAGAATTCCTGGAGGGTTATTTGGCTTCTGCACGGCGTGTGCTGTGTTCACAGTCACTAGTTAGGGTATCAGACGAGTGAATCTCTGAAGACATTTCTGTTCTTGTAAAGCATTTTTAAAAAGAGAATAGTGTTCAATTCTGCAGCCTGCTCACACACCAGAAAATACTTGCTCCCATAAGCAGCACAAGAAATGGTAGATAACCCAGTACATTTACATAATCTGCATTATTGTAATGTTGTTTACTAGCATTGCTGAACTGCCCCAGACCTCCCGCCAAGGTACAAGAAGAGATCGCTACCCAACTAAAAGATGCAGAGCAAAGGAAGACACATTCTTACAGAAAAAGTGAATTATCTGGCTCCATACATTTTTGCCTGAGGAAAAAAAGCTAGGACCCCTTGAACCAGCTCACATCGCGCAGTGATTCCTGCATGTGCCTGTTTTGCACTAAGTTGTAGAGCGTTTTCTGGAGGCAGCCTCAGGTCAGGCTTGCTGCAGTGGTGCAACAGGGATTGTTTGCTCCATTGCTGTATTTCAGCGATGAACTGGAATCTATTAAAAATGCAGCAGCGCCTTGGTGAATGCGCTGCTGCTTTGCCTCAGAAATAATCACAGTCAGGACAGTCCTCAGACAGCACCGTTTGCTAAATAAAAAGCCCAACTCGTCGCTGAAGGGGAAAATTCCCCAGGGACTAGCGATATTTTAGCCTGCTTGTCGTCCAAGGGTTTCAGAGTCCTGCAGAAGCACTCCGTAGGTCTCATGACATGCCTGGAAGTTGGAGGTTTAAGGTTTGCTCAGCTGGGGGCAGCGCCGGGGTCCGCAGGCTTGCGGAGGCCATAGGGCCGCGGGGGGTTGTGTCGGGCGTCGTGACCCCCCGAGCATCCGCGGGCGCCGGCACGAGCGAGACGGAAGCTCCTCAGCGCCGGGAGCCACCCCCGGGGCTGCGGCCGGCCCCCGGGCAGCACAGGAAGGATTTGGTACCCGGGCCGGGAGATGCTCCACGCGCCGAGGCAGCGGGTCCAGCAGCCGCGCTGGCTCCGGCCCCCGGCCCCGTTCCCCAGCCGGCCCTGCTTGGTTAGTACGGGCAAACGTCCCGGTCCTTCAGTGAAAGCATCTTGAGCAGCCACTGTGATTTGTTTCAGGTGGCTTAATGAAAAAATGAGTAAATCCCTGCTTGAATTTTTACTTTCAAATCAGCTGTCCGAAACTTTAAATTTTTGAAATCCTTATAGCTTTAAAACGTTACACTCTCATTATTCTATCTAGAACTGCAGATGCTTTTTGAGCACAGGAAAGCTCTAGCAGTTGGTCCCACCAACAGGGCTTTATTCACAAACTTAGGAGTATACAAGGCTGAATATTCGTTTGGAGGGATTCGTTTACAGACCTGGCTACCAATGAAATCAAGGAGCAGCTGAGCAGCATTCGGCATGACTTAAGCCACTGCAGGAACGAGCCCCCAGGAGATGCCCCAGTCGAACAGCCCGTTCAGGAGCTGCCTTGGGGAGAGGGAGGGAGGGAGGGAGGGATGGATGGAAATCTCCTTCCTCAAAGGATCAGCCTCCTGATCAGCTCCAGCTCGGGGCTGTCGGTAAACCATCGGTCTAATCAGCTAAGCAACTGCCGGATGCCCCCCGTGAAGTTTATTACTGTTGATATGTCAGTTAATAATGGTCTATTTTGAAGAGACTGTCTCCATCATTTCTACTAATTAATATGCTTGAGAAGTCCACTGCTACGCACAGAAATCAAATGACTCTTCTTATCCAAAAACTACCCCTCCACCCTCGAGTAACATAGCTGAAGAAGACAGACATGATTTCTCTGGCCACGGACCTTGCTAGGCAATCCCCAGGTGTAGCCACCGGCAGGGTGTTCACCCGCAGAGAGAATCAGCTGCTTTTCCACTTAGCACAGAGTCTGTTTTGCAAAAGTCCTGTTCATTTGCACTGTGTGGAGAAAATCATCTACGCTCCCCCTGCAGAGGCTGCAAACCATCTCACAGCCATGTTCGCAGGGAGCTTCTAATCTTCACAGGGAGAGAGGGCACATTGCGGATAGGGAAAAGGCAATGAGAAAACAAACTCCAAAAGGCTTTACACCGAACTCTAAGCTCACTGTGCAATGGAAGATGACAGATGCAAACACACCCAAGCCCGTGATGATAAAGTCCAGCTCACAGCCTGGATGTTCCTCAAAATCACGATTTGTGCACGACATGTTCAAAGAAGCTTAAAGCATCTGACAAGAATTAGGTTATTTACCCTCCACATACCTTGAAAATCTAAGCCTTTATGATCACATTTAACATAAAATTAAGTCTCACCTCGAGTCCAAACCCATTTTTGGATAAAGGCTGCATCCGGCTTTTGACTGTGCTTCATCTCTCCAAAAGTATTTGCTCGGGAGGATTTGCAAATCGCATTCAAGATCAGAGGTTCGTGGTTTCAGTGTTGTCAGTGCTGAGGACGGCTGAGGCGCAATGCTGTCTGACAGCCGGGCAGTAACCAAAGCGGTGCAAAGATCAGCACGGAGACTCAGATCCTCCCAGGTATCCAGACATGTTATTTCCAGTTGAAAGGAATGGGAATTGGTAGCCTAAATTAAAATTAAATGCTTTAATACTTCTGTGGAAAAAGATGTAAGAGAACAAAGCGTGAGTAAATAACATCTGCCAAATCATGTTTCGGAAAGTTGGCCAGAAAAAAAGAAAAACCTAACAAATACCCTGTAACTCGTAAAGGGGGAAACAGATAACAGCTTGCTATCACCAAATAATGTTTCTTGCATACAGAAATGCCATCTTTTATCTAGATATTTAGATGAGAACAGTTCAGTGATTTTTGTTAGTGCCATTAGTTTCTCTGGAGAGAGTATTAGTGCTCTGCTACCGACAGAACATCAATAACGGGGGTGATAAATTCTCCTGAAGCGTTAATTTTCTCAGCATTGTGAAATCTAACTTATGCATCATCACTATACATCAGCGAGGGATAACGTGAGCAGGCACTGTAAACACCATGCCACAAGTAAAACAATATAAATCAAGTGGAATCTGTTTCTGAAAGAGATTTCCATTTGGTAACAGAGCTGGGGTTCAACAGTTTCCCATAACAACACTGCAGCCCAACACAGTTCCTTGCTGCTGGTATCTGCCGTCTTCACAAGCAGCTCTGCAATAAAGACAGATGAAAATAAGGGCCAGATAGTCTAGGTATGAATCAGCAGAGCCCTATGGATCCAGCAATCTAGTAATCACGGGAGAAGGAAAGGCAGGAGCAAACGGGGAAAGTAAATGTCATTTAGTTATTATGGGTCGTTATATGCAAACTCACCCTTAGTTGTGTTGAATGCAATACCACGTGAAAAGGTAATTTTCTCTGCATTTCCAGTGCACGCTTGATTTTGATCTGCAGTCTGAATGCCTCAATCATTTGGACCTTGTGAATTTAATTCCCACCTACTGGGAATTCAGTGGCAAGCAGTTTTCTCTCACGGCACTTTCTTCACCCCATAAGGAGGTGACAGAAGGGAGAAGGCCCCCCTAGGCCACCCAGTCCACGGCTGTGACTGCAGGACAGGAGCCCCTTGTTGGGATCATACCTGGGCACTTGGCTCTCTAACGAGAGCTCTGTAAGAGATTGAGCAACTCTTTCCTTTTTATCTGCCTTCCCCTGTGTTTACTTTATCCAGGTCATTACTAGAACTGGGCAAATACTGCAAATGATTATGCACAAACGCTCCTTGGAATTTTTTTAATTAATTAGTCTCGACCACTTTCTCACTCCCTTTACGTGGGGTTTTCACTCCTGTGACTTTATTCTACCAGCTCTGTTTACTTTCAGAGTATTCACTGAGGCAGCAAATTGTACATGATTATTGAAGATTATTCACAGAGAGTAAAGTGATAAATGAATTATTAATTCTCACTATTAGTGCTGTTGTCCTGTCGCCTGGAGGCCCCACTGAACTCAGGACCCCTCTGCTTTAGGTACTGTATCAGCAAACAGGGAGAGACAGTTCTTGCTCCCAAAGGGCTTTTGAGCCTGGGGAGGTGAGGCGGCACAGGCGGGCAGGGTGCGAGGGGACGGGACGAGGTGAGGTGCTCAGCGTCGGCTCGGCCCCTTAGAGGCAGAGCGGGGCACGGGGTTCTCCTCCGACGTGTCTCTGGCAGGGGGAAACCTCGGGGTGCTGTTCTCACCTCCCCTTGTGCACCTGCAGTTTCCCGGGGACGGGCCAGTCCTCCGCAGGGAGACAGCATCCGTCTTCACCCGCTTGTGCATCCTTTTTTATCAGAAATGTGCACAGAGACGGGATTAGTGCCAGGGAAGGCAGTTCCGAAGGGCTGAGCCCTGAGCCGGCCCCGCAGCAGACGGGCTCTCGCGAGGCCGAGGGCACGCTCACCCCCTCCTCTGCGGGGAGGGGGTCTCGGCGCCTGGTCTTGCACCTCCGTGCAAAACAGCTACTGCAACTGCTCCGCTGCCTTCTGCACCAGCCGTGTCACCCCGGCCCGTCACATCCCCTCGAGGGAGGGCTGTGCTGCTCCTTGAGCTGCCGCGGCATCGCACCTGAGCCCTAAAACCACCACTGCACCTGGCAGACAAGACGCGGCCTCCAAAGACATCACGTCAGCACTGCCCTACTGCACTCCTCCAGCAGAGAAAGTTCCCCCAAATCCAACACCTCGTGACCAAGAGACAGATGAATTTCTGTAGACAGACCTCTGGACCTGGGCTAAAGAGCAGCCAAAGGTTTGTCTCACCCCTCGGTGATCGGCTCCAGGGCAGTGCGGTTCCTGCTGCCGTGTCCGATCGTTACACCGACCTGATTATTTCAGGAATATTCAGTCTCGGATAAATTCAAGTGCCCAAGTGCAGGTGAAATTAAAGAGGGCTCCTCTGGGTGGCAGCCGTACCCGGGGGAGGAGAGCATTGCCATGGCACGGGGCCTGTGGCATCTCCCACGCCCTGAAGGCAGGCAGCGGGCATCAGGCGAGTATTGACAGGCTGAAACATGGCACAGCCATACTCTCTTGCTTCTTGACAAATGCTGCATTAGCTATTAATTTTATTTAAGTGCTTTCTAGTATGATGGTGTTGAACTAAATCGAATCTGTCCACCGGCAAACGCCCTAGTGTGTTGGCTTTGGCTGAGATAGAGTTAATTTCCTTCACAATAGCACATATGGGGCTCTGCTTCGGGTTTGTGCCGAAGGCAGCGTTGAGAATACAGAGATGTTTTCCTTAATGCTGAGTATCAAGGCCTTGTCTGCCTCTCACCCCACCCGCGAGTGGGCTGGGGCGGGGGGACAGAAACAAAGCAGCAACCAGGTGGAGCGTGTGGGACCGTTCACAGAGGCAATCCCTACTCCCCTAGTGAAGACGTGCTGTGAGACAGGTCTGGACCCTTCGCTGGGAGTGACGGGAGGAGGCTGAGTAACGGCAGAGAGGAGGAACAGAGCCCCCAGGCTGTCTCATTCTCTGGGGAAGACATGTTACTAGCCCCCAGAAAAAAAATTTTTTAATTCATGAACGTCTACGAATGCCCAAGTAGCAGACCCTTCCACCGCAGCTTTGTGAGCCTTCATCAGCGCCCTCCTCACTCCAAACTCATAGCAAGCTCTCGGGTGAGTTCTGTTCTGCCTTTCATGCCCATTGTAAACAGCCTGTAAGCTAAGGAATTCACATTTAAATGCCATTTTAAATTACCTTTTAGCCTAGAGCTACACTTAAGGCATAAACCAGACTGATGAAATGCTGCCATCGATAGTCCAGTTCATCTCCAGGTAACTGGGGCAGCCCTGCCTGCGACGGCGAGCCCAGCCCTGCACGGGTCCCCTCATGCAGAGCAGCGACCAGAAGGGCACTGGTCACCCACACTACATTCTTATCATTATATATATTGCTGGTTAATAGTAGTAATGATGCTTTAATCAATATTAATAACATTTAATATGAGCACTAAAAGGTCCCATTATTTTTCCAGTGTAAAGAGCTATGAGAAATAAATACCCTTTTCCACAAAATTTGATGTTCTACACTTAAAGCAAAAGGTAGGTAAAATAAGTGGCCAGAAAAAAACAATAAAATAATAAGACAATATAATGAAAGAAAAGTTTTTATTCTGTTTTGAATTAACTCAGTGGTTTAGCTATTCCCTCACCATCTCCTGCCCCAGGCGTCTGAACTATTTCTAGCTCAGTCATGGTCTTGCTGAACAGACAGGATGTTTTTAACCTTTCTGGGCAAAAGCTTTGTGCAATATCTGCAGTTCCTGCTGAGATAGACATAAATTCCGTGCAGGACAACCTTGCATATTTTAGGAGGCCTGGGTTTTAATATCACGATCTGCAAACATAAAAAAATTACACTTTTCCATTCCCTAGGGGTAAATTGTAGAAATGAAATAACGTATCTGCACAATATGTAAGTACATTCAGACTAGCACTGTCACTTAAGCTACATACATCCTTTGCTAACGGTCAACTGGAATTTGTTTTAATGCTAATCTTCAAACAAAAATAAGACTAGGTGCCTGCTCCTGTACTGTAACCATTAAATGGCTTGCTTCTGTACCACAGACAAGTCTGGTTCTCAGCAAGATTCTGCATCTTAAGGCACGTACCTTGAATAAGCGTTGGTGTACGTTTGGGCTAGGACAGCATTTCAAAGCCTGGTGGATTCTGCACTGAAGAGATGCCCAGAGGTTTCCTCATTTATTGTGTCTGTTGGGTTGAAAGAATGCTCCACACTCCCCTGGAGTGCACAGCATCCCTTGTTCAGCACTCCTACAGTGACAAAACACAAATGAGCACTCACAATATTTCTGCCGCTAACGAACACCTCTTGCAACTCTACAGCTTTATCCATGGCCATTTTATTTGTGATCTTCAGCTCAGAGGTTTTCTTGAACCTCACCTAGAGCTTCCAAGTCAGGAACTTGAAATGCAGATACTGGAGCTGCTGGGGAGAAGGTAGGAAGGGAGCAAAAACCCCACAAAGGAACGGTTTCTCCACTCGTACACGGACTACAGTTTGCAAAATGTGATCAATATGATGTATAACTGTGGAAACCCCCACACACAAATAAAACAAGAAAGGCGCTGAAAATATGTTGGGGCAGGAAAATGAATGATCTCTCTGTCAACTATTTAAAAACAATCCAGTAATGTGAACAATCAGAAGTGAAGAAAAATCAATATGCGTCTCATGGTGCAGAAATGGAAAACAAGCTGGATTTTACTCCTGCAAAATCCATGCAAACAAAACCCAACAGATTAATTCTGCCTGTCAGTAAATGTGGTCATTTCTTCAGAAACAGAACCACCTTCAGAAGAGCGCTCCCTTTAAACACAATACTGTATTTATTGATGTGTTATAAAATCCCCACTGGTGTCAGTGGTACATGACTGACTCTTTACACTGTAATTACGAACAATTGTGGCTTTTTCCCCAACACATTTAATTTAATAAAAAAAATCCACCAGAAAAACCTCAAGCAAAGCAGAGGGAGAACAGAGCATGCCAAATAGTGCCCAACCACTACTTCTCTGCTTAATTTCCAGAAAGTGCAGTAGAGCAAAGAAGAAAAGCAATACTAGCCCTGTTGGAGAAAACAGACAATTAAAGGCGTGATTGGAGTGTCCCAAAGCAGTCATTTCTATTCACCAAATCGCAGCCAACTTCTGACTTCAGGTAACAGAGGAGAAATGGCATCAGGATATCAAAGGAGGAAGTTTCTGTGCCAGCTCAGGAGGTGTGGGGGTCCTTCCCAGAAAGAGGTTGATGGAAACTGGGGGGGGGGGAGTGTAATGAGGGGAGGAATCAACAGGGAGATGGATCAGTGGGCAGAGCGTACGGTAGCAGCACAATCTATCACACTGCCCAGCACTTCACCGAGCTACGCGATTTGTCTCGCAGGTCTCAGTACCGTGCATGCACAGAAAGACAGATCTATTAGTTTTCCTTTCTAAACTTTCCTCTCCTATTGGACATATGAAATATAGCCAGAAACATCATGGAAATTAAAGACCGTGGCACTGGCTGAAAGACAACGGGAACCGCCCGGTGTTCAGTCAGCTCTCGAGCCTCAGCCGAACCGGTGTTTGTCAATATTGGACGTACACAGTTACTCAGCCATCTTCTCTCTGTATCTCGGTGGCAAACTCAATGGCCAGCTCCACCAAGCACAGGGCAGCCCCGTGTTCCCTCCTCTGGTCTTCTCACCGTCACCGCAGGTAGTCACCCTCGAGAGCAGAAGTCTGGAAAACTGAACATTTCACAACGCAGCTTATATCCCAGCTTGGACGCCTAACCCGTCAAGTCCCTTAAAGAGGAGAGGCACCCTCCGCCGACAGAAGGGAGCAGAAGGGGCCAGCGAGTGCTGCGGGCAGACACACCGGCTGTCCCCTCGGCCGCTCCCCTGCCCCGCGGGGACCGAGGCGTCCTCGGCAGGGCTGCGGGTTCAGCGACCGACAGGAACCCAGCTCCCCGGCTGCACCACAGTGCCGTGTTGTTCTCCAGAAACTCGGCTCTCAGCAAGTCGCTGGTCGTGAAGCGGAAGAACAGAACTCCCCCAAAAGGCCCGTTTTGTCTACAGATGTGCTACAGGTGTACAGAGGGCACCTGCACACAAGCAGGATGCTCTCGCTACCAGCAAAGCATGGGTCTTACATGGAAGATTCTGAAACTGTGAGGATCTTAACCGCAAAAAATACCTAGTTTATACAGAAAGTATGTTCCCTAACTAAATCCAGCCTTACAATGCGGCTGCTTTCCTCCCGTCACCCCTCCTTTTTGCCAAGCTGCTTACGGGACTAATCTCTCAACCAAACTCTTCAGAAAAAAACAAAGTTCATACAAATCTGTCATCAATCTTCTTCCAAATTGGGGGAGGGAAGACTTCATGAGACTGCAAGGCTGCCGCTCGGTGAGCTGGCAGGCAGCGATGCCAAATGCGAAGGGAGAAGGTTCTGAGAGGCCGTTTCAGCCACAAAGCCCCACACCGGAGCCGTGCCGCAGCCCCTCTGCCAGGCGTGAACCTCTCCCGGGCACAGCCAGCAGCCCCCGTCGAGCCCGGGCCAGGCAAAGGCTCCGGCGCTGCCCTGGCAGGAGCTGGGTACAGGCACAGGGTCCCCCCCCGTGCAGCGAGGGGTCACCTCATGGGGGGGCACCTGCACCCCCCAGCAGCACTTGGCAGGGCAAACGCCCAGGCTGCGCAGCGGCCCCGTGGGTAAGGTGGAAGGTGAGGCAACGCTGGAAGGATTTCTGGCAAGCCTGATTTGTTTCTTCTAATCAGGGCAAAAAAAGAAAAAAAAATCTTTGCAACTGTAGCACTTGGTAAAGTCGTAAAGGGAACTTTAGTAAGGCTAGGAAAACAAACCCGCCTTTTTCAGCCCGCGGCACCCCGCTGGTTCTGAACTTTTCCCAAGAGCGGCTCTTCCACCCCTTCAGCTAAAACGACTTGCCCTTGCTCCCAGCACCTCCGCTCCGGTGCGCTGGGGCTCGGAGCCGAGCGGCGGGGGCAGCCCAGGCCCTTCGCTGCCGGGGCGATGCTGCCGCTCCGTGGCCCCCCCGCGCCCGCTTCCGAACACGCACCTGCCCCCTCGTCCCCTTCGCATCGCCCCGGCTGCCCGCGCCGCTTCGGTCGGCCTGAAGGAGCCTTTCGCCCCCTCTCATGGGCAGCCGGACCCAGGGCCCGCTCGCCAACGGGACGGGGGATTGCGAAGCGAGGGGCCAGCCCCAAGGAGCCCCGCAGCACCCGGTGCAGGACAGCAGCGCGCTCGGGACACTCCAGCACGGCCGCCCCGCTCAGGCTGCAGCTCCCTCCTTGTTCCCAAGAGGAACTGTAAGGAAGAAGCCAGCTGTAAGCAAAAAGGACAGTGCTGAACGGGCCAGGCACACTAGGAGCTTTGCACCCACGCTGGTCTTCCCACATACACCTTCCGCTGTAAATTCCACCTAAATTCAGTTTAATGCAGGAATAAAAATCTCTGCTCTCCGCTCCAGGCAGATCGGCTTCTCAGAACAACTGGCCCAGGCCATACCGGCCGGGCCCTTGGCACCATGCACACCCAGCCCGGTGGTCCCCCTGCACATGGGAACAGCTCTGCCTCACCTGCCTTTCGCCCAGCAGAGACATTTCCCCACGCAGGCTGGGTGAGCGGCAGCTTACAGACCCCATCCTCCACAACCGCCGCAGAAAAACTTCTATTTTTCTTTCAGTATTCCAGAGAGGCTTTCTGGATTGTTGGCAGGTTTCCTTCAGGCAACCTGAAATGAAAAGCTGCCTGCACCAACAGACTACTGATTAAGTCAGACAGCCCCTGCTATTTGCCAAGAGTTACAGTGGCCACCCAGCCCATCAAGCAATAATCAGCAGGGACACAGGCGAAGCACTGCCAAACGCCAGAAAATTTGAGATCAAGAGTACAAGTTTCAGAGACTTTTGGCAAGTGTTTTTGATTTCCCTTCTTCATTCCTCTCCTTTTCTTTTTCTAGTTCAGCTGCTTCCTGACTCCTATCCTCAAGCACTCAAGTAGAAAACTGAGATTAGAGATAAGACATCTGAACAAACAGCTTCTCCTGCTTTCCAAAATAAACTACAGCTCTTAAAAGTAGCTCCAAATACATTGGTTTAGGGTCGTGCATGCTAAGGGATGAGCTACAGCAATGCCATTTCAGGCAGTTTTGACAATACAGACCCAAGTCATGGAAACGCTTCGGCAAACACTGTGGCTTGTCTCCAGCTGCAGGCAAGAGAGCAGGAATTACTCCTTCACTTTTCCCCTCTGCAAGAGAAGGGAGGAGGAACATGCACCAAGAGCATCATCTCCATGGTGACAGCAGGGAAGCAGCAGGAGGTTTCCTAGAAAACATCGGATTTGGTCAGAACTAGTGCAGGAAATGAAGCAGCTGCTGAAAAACCTTTTCAGTTATTCAGCTGAAAGTCATAGTCAAAAGCAATGTTTCTAAACCAACGGGCAGCAGCAGGATCTTCCCTGGAAATCTAGATAAGACACTACCTGCTGAGGGTTGGCCATGCCGTAAGCAGTCAAGACCTAATTCCGTTTTAAAGTAAAGGACATTTGTCCTCAGGCCAATGACACCAGCAGAAAGTACTGTGAAATGTCCACAAGCGTGCAGTTCCCAAACCCACTGTGCTGCCTGATGCCACACCTCTCCACACAAGCCCATCCTAACGGCATCCTGAAGCAGAAGAGACAGCAAAAATGGCAACATCATTTCCAGGAACAGAGCCAGACTCATTCAACTAAAAGTAATGCAAATGGCATAAAGACTGCTTTTTCTGCATATGGCACCAAACTCCATAACAACTCATCTGGAAACTGCCCTGCTCAGTACCTGTAACAAAGCAGTGTTACAGTGGTGGAAACCTCACTTCAATTACTAAAGCTGAAAAATTCTACAGCTGAGTATAGCTGCCCGTGTACTCTTGCTATCCAGCACTATAACAACAAGAAAGATATTATTTCTTTCCCTTGCATTGCTTAAACTACTCACAGTATTTTAATTCCTAATTTTGTAGGATCTTTCTGCAGAAGCAACCTTGTCTCATACCTAGAAAGTATAATGCAGATGAAAAGCTCTGTTAAAATAAGACAGCTGATGCACGGCAAGAGAGACGCCAAATTACCACTTAAACATGTGAACACATCAGCAGGCACTGATGAGCCGCAGGCACTCCTGCATGTGTCTCCTTACCCTGAACTTTGAGGGCTGTGACAATTTACATTACATGCTGATTCATCTGGGGAACTCAGACATATTTTTAATGTGTTCTGTGATAACTTCTATTAGCCTTTGTAGTTTGTTCAAGAACTCCGTGGGTATAGCCTGGAAAAAAAAAAACTACATTTCACAGACCTACCCAACCAGGCTGCTGTTTGGGATGGGACCCAGAGCACATAATGTACATCAAGAATTCCCTCCCAGATCAGTACAGGTCACCTTGTAAATTAATCCTCTGCAAGAAGCTGAATGGGACCCTTAATGACCGAGAAAGAGGGAACAGTAATGTTTTTGAAGGTGAGAATAGTCCCGACAAGATATTACACAAATGCAAGCCTGTTTTGTAAAAAACAGCAAAGGATTACACTTTCATTCCTGTGTTTCCAGTGCCACCTTCTGTACAGAAGAAGAAAACTCTGAGTTTCAGGAGCTCCAAGGAATGAAACTGGAAAATTCTTCCCCACCCACATGGAAACACTGTCACTACTGAAATTAAATACTGAAAGATTTACATTTTCAGTAGCTCAACAGCACATTGAGTTGTGTGCTTAAGACACCCACATGTGCCAAAAACTTCTAATTTTACAGAGAAAGTACATCAGCTTCAATTTGTGTTTTCCATAAATTTGTACAGCTTCTGGGATGACACGTAACGGATGACAGAAATAAACATCCATTATTAGAAAAAAAAAAAAAACCAAACTGAAGTATAAATCTGCTATAAATGTCAAAACCTCTTGTTAAATGAATTCTCAGGACCATAATTAAAGTATGTGCACAGGGACAGTAGTTTTTCTTCTCCGTGCCATTGCCAGCCTGTCTCCAGGGAAAGGTTGGAGGTGATTTTCAGTTCCATTAGGCTGCCCTGCGGCTCCAGCCTGTGCCTGGGGAATGCTCGCCCTGGCCTCCGCTACGCGACTTCAACAGCAGGTACGAGAGACTGCTGTGAACGCTTGCTGTGAATAGCGTTTTCACGAGTTCACAGGCATAAAATAAAAATCCGTAAACTGGATTTTCTTGTCCCTGGTTCCAAATTCAAATGCTATGACCAAACCTGCTTTTGATCAGCAGCTGCCTTGATTGCTTCTTAAGCCACACAAAGCCTTAAATCAGAGCTGGATCGGGACCAGTGACCTGGAAGAGATGCCCGGGTGCCTCATCATCAGTGTTCAAGGCCAGGTTGGACAGGGCTTTGGGCAACTTGGTACAGTGAAAGATGTCCCTGCCCGCGGCAGGGGGCCTGGACTAGATGGTCTTTAAAGCTCCTTCTGAGCCAAACCACTCTGCGATTTCATTCTTCATTCTACTTTCCAACAGTGGCTAGAAAATTACTTGATAAATTACATTCAGGAGGTTTTCCAATGAGTACTATTCAGCGTGGTTATCTGGTACATATAGACTTTCATTAAAAAGACAGACAAAGTCTTATCAGCTTCCCTGATAGATGTACCGCACCGTTCTGCCAGATCCGATAAGCCCTGAAGACGATTCAGAACGGCCTTAAAACATCAAACCACCTTTAATTGGGGTTGGAGGGACACGGTTCACACGTGGGCGGCAGCAGGGCCGTGAGCACGGCCGGGGAGCCCCCCAGGGACCACGCTGAGCCCCCCGGGGATGGGTGGTGCTGGGCACTCGCAGGTCCCCAGGGGAGCGGGCAGCGCAGCATCACCTCGGGCTTCCCCGACCGAGCTTTGTCCGGTGAACAAGGCCCGTACAGCCGGGAATGGGAAGGGGCTCTGCTTTCCCCAGCCACACGCACACGTCTGACCCCACTCCCGGGGGGTCGGGGGGGGCCCTGCCCAGGCAGGGCAGCTGGTTCTGCTCCAGCTTCTGCTGCTAATTGCGGGTCCCAAATCTCTCGTTTAGGTCAGTGGTTTTCCAACGAGGAGGGGCAGAATGTCAGGGCGGTGGCACTCTTGGGGATGGGCTCACCATAGCTGGGAGCCTGCGGGGCCGACAGCCGCTCCCTCCAGGATCCCCTGACGCACTCCGGGTGAAGGTTGAGGTTCGGTTTTGCGCTGTGCTTGCAGCATCAAAGCCTGCTTCATGTCTGCAGATGCTCCTGTAACTGAATGATCAAACTATTCTGTGATCAGAAGTCCACGACATAGTCAGCACACATACAAGAGGCTGTAAAAGTCCTCAACCTTCTTTCCATGATTCAAGCCCAGGATTCTGCAGCCAAGCAAAAGCCACTCTGTTCTCAGCTCCGGCCCTGTGCCGCGTGCAGTTCACCTGCAAAAGCAAGTTGGGGAGTCTGTTCTTAGCTCTGTGGAAAGCTGGAAATTAATGAATTAAAAACTCCAACCAAACCGTTAATGCCTTGTAAAGCACAGAGGAAGATCACTTCCAGGTAAGAAAATTACTCAAGCCTATAGATAGTTGCATGTCCAAAGGAAACATCTTCATTCAGTAAGTAATCTAGTAATAAACCTCTAAGAGATAAATGTTGTAATGATTATTTATATTTTCCTCTTATGCCTGGATTCATGCTTGATTGGGTTCTCTGTAGTTCATAAGAAAAGGAAAAGCAGTAGTTTCAAAGTGCCACTCATCATGTGTATCTGTCTATAGACAGAGCCTAGAAAATTAGGCTCCTGATTGGAGCATCTCAAGTTCAAAATTATATAGAATAAGGCTGAGCTGTAAAATTGTGTACACAGCATATCATAATTGCAGCTACTGCTGGAATAAATTATGGCAAGTGTCTTAAATATTCTGGGGATGAACTGAAGAAGGTTCTTCAGCTAAAACTAGAAGAGCTCCCTGTCCGGAAAACACAACCCCGAACAAGAGATCAGACTGAGCTCAGTGACCTCTTGGGAAAAGGATCTGCAATATTGGGGGTTGTATTTCACCTGACGAGTAAGACTCCCGGCAGTTGAACACTCTCAGGCACATTGTTTAAGGATTTGGACCATCTCAGCTATACAAGTGAACAATTTGGCTCAATTACTATCTCCCAAATCCCCTGAAACCTGGATTTAGGCGGTTGTTTCTACAACACTCACAGTTTGTTTAAACTATAAGACTAAGTGAAGCAATTCTGGCTGAGAAGTCTGTTTTGAGTTGTTTTCCAGTTGTCTGGAGAATTTCAGTTTCCCTCCCACCAAGTTTTAGAGTCCAGATTCTTTCGGCAACTTTCCAGATTCTGGCTGGAATATTCAACCGTTAATTCCCAGCTTGCCCATCTGCTAGGTCTAGAAAATATTTCTGTACCTTTAAAATGTATGCCTAAACTGCTTATCTTTAACTGTCAACATTGTCTCACACTATTTAATTTTAAAGCTTTACTTTTTAAACCTCTCAAGGTTGCTACTGATCTGTGTACAAGGAACGACCGAGAATTCTGCACGGCACAGGAAGTGTCCTGTGTTTTACCAGAGAAGCTGTATCACCATCCCGTGCCGGGGGGGTGGGGGGGGCCGGGCACATCAGCCCCAGCGGGAAGCGGGGACCCGGGTGGGGGTCTGGATCCCTCCCACCCCCCCCGGCTCTGTCCGGAGACGGCAGCCGACCTCCACAGTCCTCTTCTAATCTGAGCCGAATGCACACACGGTGCTCAGGCACCTCGGGGAGGATGAATGCCGCGCGTACGCTGTCATCAAGCAAATGATCTGTACCCACAGGGACCAAAGGGTACCTTTTGCGATTGAAGATGAATACCTGCCTGTTTTCACTTGCTGTCTGGATTAATTGCAAAGCAAAATATTTGATGTCATGTACTAAGTGAATAGATATCATTGTTTACAGACCGATAAAAGTTAAAGTATGAAAAAAAGTTTTGTTATTACAGTATATACTCTTGCCACTGAAAATGCACGGAAGCAAACGCAGAAAATTCCCCTTTTTAATGAAGCCAGTTATGAGTATTTCCAGGATACGGAGGATATAGATTCTAGGCGAGCTCATCAGCAGTGAAGGGCCCCATGGATTTGCAGTTTCGCGTGTTCGGTTCTGTACAGCGGTTATTTTGGAAATTGGATTTGGTGAAGGCGAGTCCAGGCTCTGCCTTGCCCAGGAGAAGCGGAGCGGAGCCCGTTCCATGGGCCTGGTGCATTTTGCGGGGCAGCCCTGGTGTTTGGGGGCACAGCAGGGACACCCCCTGCACGGTCATTACTCCATTCACATGCGAGACCTTCAGAGTGTTTTCTTTTGCTTTGGTCTGGTAAAACTTTGCCTTCTCTCCTACACTCCCCAGCTAATTATCAGCCCTCTCATGGCACAGCAGTGGGGTTTCCCCCTCCCCAACGGCCTTGCCTGCTCCTGCCAGGTTGAAAAACTCTTGTCAAGCAAGAACTGCTGCGGTGATGCATAGCTCCTGCTGCAGAGCAGGATATGACAATATTCACACATTGCTATTCCCACTTCCTCAAACAGCTCCCCCTAAGAAATCCACAGTAATTAAAGAACACCTAAAAAAATCAATGTTCTTATGAACAGCCCTTACAACATTATCATTCAAGCTGTAGTGAGCCTCTGTTCTTATACTTCATAGCAAAATGCTACCCTTACAGTTACCCTTACACCCTTAAACTGTGGTTTCGGTACTCAAGATAGAAAAAAATCAGCGTTTCAAAACTCAGTGCCCAACTAGGTTTCACATTGCTGCGAGGACTGGTCCTCAGAGTTAAGAGCAT